AGAACATGCTTTTCGTGCTGCTGTAGAAAACTGGATTACCGCTGCACTTTTCTGTTTGCGATAAACTCTCGTCCATTTGGCTCAAGGTTTTAGTTTCAAGTAGATTTACAGTTAGTTGTAAAATATTCATCCGTCAAAACACGATTCGTTATGTTGGTTGAAACCTTGTCGGTTCACCGTTTCACAAATTAGTCATTTTCTGTCGCTTGAAATATGAAACTTGCGACACCGTTGGTGTTAAATTCATAAATATTTAAAAATCAGCTACAAGTCGTGGTTTAAAGTGAATTTATTGATGTTTTTTGTTTCACTCAGAAAATGTTATTGTATTGGGAATGCTAATTAATTTTTTGTCGTGCGTTCAATAACACTCGGATTCAGAGTTGGCGTTGGCAAGCTTTTTACATTTGGCGTCACTGATTTAGTTGTTGGTGTCTTAAAAATTTAAAACAAATTTTCGTACAAAAGTCTTAATGCGGCAAGCAGATATTGATTGATTTTGTGGAAACCAACGGTCATCTTTGTATATATTCTTGATGCTTGAACAACCTCCTCAGTAAAGATCCTCGTCAATCGGTGACAGATACGCTAAGCTTGGATAGACAATTACTCGGCGAAATGCTGACAAAACAATTTCATAATGTTGATATTCAACTAGCCTTCATACAAACACTAGCAACAAGTTAATATTCGGTCATTATAAACGACCCTTACGGACACCTCAGTTAAATTACAGAGTAGAGCAGATATGACCTTGCTCTGCATTTGGCGATCTCCAAGCTTCGACCTAGGGTCTGTAATTTACGATTTTACGGAGTAGGAGTGCGTAGGCTTTTTAACTTTTAGGTTGTAAAGTTTTATTATTATACAAAAGTCTACAATATAATATGTACTTGCGAAAAGAAATTTTTTCACTAGCAGCCATGAAGCATGGAAATGTCGACTCGTTTAGAGGTAGCAAATTCAACTTTTGCGACCACGGGTTCAAAAAGAAGATTGAGGTTATGTACGCCATACTTGATGTGATTATTTCTTAAAAAATGAATAAATGTGTGATATTAACATTACTTGAGTATACGCACGGTAGTTGGTAGACGGTGGGAGATAAAATGATTAATTCAGCGACAAATGTAAACGGTTTTCTTTGTGTTGAAGATTTAGATTAAGTTTGATTAGAAATCAAAACAAAATCATGTTGCGTCAAAAAATTGAACGTTTATTTTTTCAATTTATTGTCTTATGGTTTCTACTAGTGAAAAAAATAGTATATTAACCACGGTTGCAAATCCACTTCTAGACCTCGCGCTTCAGAGCTTCTAATTTGCGCTCGGTCTAGAATGCTTGGCTTTGCAACCTTGGCTAATAATATACTATTTTCAGACGTCACATGTTTCTTGCTTTTTATTGTTTATTATATATTTTTTAACGTAAACAGAGATAAAAAATTGTTGAAGGGAAAATTCCGTAATTCAGATATAGGACATAATTTCTTAAAATCTATGGAGATTTTACAAGCAGTATCTCGCATCTGAAACGTTTGGATAATGTTATATTAAGTCAGTATTCTAGATAGAATTTTATGTTTTGTGCTCATTCGTTCATGCTAATATATCCTACATAATCTTCCTTCTCTTCCAAACCGAGTAACAGCAAAAAAAAGTATGTAGTTTATAACGTATTTGTAAATATTTAAATATATATATATTTGTGTAAAGAACCTCCCTTTTGACGTACCGTTCTATACCCAATTCTTTCAATTCTCTAAATTCTATAAATTCTCAAAACTCTCAAAATTTTCAAAACTCTCAAAACTCAAAACTGAAAATTCTCTAAATTCTGTAAATTCTCTAAATTGTCTAAATTCTAAATTCTGTAGGTAAATTCTTTAAATTTTCTCAATTCTCTAAATTCTCAAAATTTTCTCAATTCTCTATATTCTCTAAATTTTTTGAATTCTCTGAATTCTCTAAATTCTCTAAAATCTCTGAATTCTCTAAATTGTCTAAATTCTTTAAATTCTATAAATTTTCTAAATTTTACAGATTCTCTGAATTCCCCGAATTTCTGAATCCTCTGAATGATTCTCTGAATCCTCTGATTTTTTTAATTCTCTGCATCCTCTTAATACTCTGAATTCTCTGAATTAGTATCTGAATCCTTTGAATTCTCTAAATTCTCTAAATTCTTTAAGTTCTCTAATTTCTCTAAATTCTCTAAATTTTCTCAATTGTTCAATTCTTTCAATGTTGTAATTGTTTTTAAGTCTAATATCATTTAAAATTCAAACACCAGAGATCCGAACATTATTGCCAATTTTTTTAAAAATAAGACACTCTACCCCTGAGATTCTTTAAAAAATCAAACACCAGATGCCTCAAGAGCCCTAGATTTATTTAATTTTTTTTTAAATCAAACATCAGGGGTTCTAAGATTTTATAAAGTGTTTTAAAAATCAAGACCCCAAGATCTTTAAATTGTTTTTACAATGAAATAAAAGAGGCTCTCGATATTCTATAAAATTCTTTCAAAAATAATTTTTTAATTCTTGCAATTCTTTAAATTCTTTAAATTCTCTAAATTCTTTAAATTCCATAAATTCTCTATATTCTCTAAATTGTCTAAATCCTCTAAAGTCTCTAAATTCTCTAAATTTTCTCAATTTTTCGATTCTTTCAATGTTATACAGTTTTTTAAAAAAGTCTGATATTTTTTAAAAATCAAACACCCGAGATCCGAACATTATTGCCAATTTTTTTTAAACATAAGACACTCTACCCCTGAGATTCTTTAAATTCTTTAAAAAATCAAACACCAGATGCCTCAAGAGCCCTAGATTATTTTTTTTTTTTTAAATCAAACATCAAGGGTTCTAAGATTTTATAAAGTGTTTTAAAAATCAAGACCCCAAGGTCTTTAAATTGTTTTTACTATGTAATAAAAGAGGCTCTCGATATTCTATAAAATTCTTTCAAAAATAATTTTTTAATTCTTGCAATTCTTTAAATTCTTTAAATTCTCTAAATTCTTTAAATTCCATAAATTTTCTAAATTCTCTAAATCCTCTAAATCCTCTAAAGTCTCTAAATTCTCTAAATGTTCTCAATTTTTCGATTCTTTCAATGTCATACGGTTTTTTAAAAAAGTCTGATATTTTTTAAAAATCAAACACTAGGGATTTGAAGATTATTGTAAATTTCTTTAAACACAAAACACTCGACCCCTGAGATTCTTTAAATTCTTTAAAAAATCAAACACGAGATGCCTCCGAGACTTTATAAAATTATTTTAAAAATAATAATCAATCAAGCGCCCCGGATTCATTTTTTTTAATCAAACATCGAGAGTTTTAAGATTCTATAAAATTTTTTCGAACATATTTTTTTTTGTTCTTGTAATTTCCTGAATTCTCTGAATTCTCCAAATTTTTCAATTCTTTCAATTCAATTCTTTCAGTTGTTTCAGTTGTTTCAGTTCTTTCAGTTCTTTCAATTCTTTCAATTCTTTCGGTTTTTTCAATTCTTTCGGTTCGTTCAATTCTGTCGATTCTTTCAATCCTTTCAATTTTTTCTATTCTTTCGATTCTTTCGATTCTTTCAGTTCTTTCAATAATACTTTCAATCCTTTAAAAAATAGAATGCTGGGGCCTCTGAGATTCTATAAATCCTTTCTTTTAAAAATCAAACAGCAGGAGCTTCTGAGATTATTCAAATTTTTTATAAATAAAACTCAAAGGTAGCCTTAGATTCTTTAAAATTCTTTTAAAAATCAAACACCTGGCACTACCAGAAGTGATTGCTTAAAATCTTTTCAAAATAAAACACAAGTAGTCCGCTAGATTCTTTAAAATTCTTTTAAAACACTAGGGGTCCTGAGATTCTTTCAAATATTCTCAAAAACAAATCCAATGTCGCCGCCTCCCCAGTAACCGAAGCAGTCGTCGCTAGAGAGGTCACAGGACGACCATGTCTGGGATTCCACTGCTTTTTATGTGCCGAAAGTTTTTTGACTTATCCGATAATTTCTTTATGTAAGCCGTATTTTTTCCGGGTCGCTGGAGGTAAATTGCATATGTGCATAAAACTGTCTATTTAGCAACAGTTGTGTATATTTTGACAAATATTTGTGCATCCAGTCGTTTCCAAAAAGTTTCGGGCAAGATGAGCAAATCAGGTTCCCATAGATCAATGAAAAGCAATAGGAATACCACTTTTATGTCAATGTCATTTACCCGAAATTTTTTGGAAACGACGGTATAAATCCACCTTTTAGATGATGTGCGATTTCATTTCAAAGACGTAGAATATCAAATTTCTTAGAAAAATTCGTAAAATTCGGGTGTACTTATACACATTGTATTTTAAGGTCAATTATTCTTATATGTAAAATTAAAAATAGACGAACAGACGGAAAGAGGAAACTTATTTTGGGTCCTGATAAACGTAAAGAAAGTGGAAAAAGCTGTTCACACTGAACTCTCATTACCATCAGTTTGGTATTTCAAAGGTGAAGGAAGATCGTATAAATATCTAGACACAATTTAGAAATATGAAATTCTTAAAATTATTGTCGAGATTTTAAATTTGGTAAACTGAGAAGATCTTCAACTTTCTGATCGAATTTGATTATTGAGTGGATTTATTAACGTGCGCCTTGATCATTACACCTTTTGAAGCTGAAACTAACCTCAGCAATTGTGTTCCTTCAAGCTTCTCGACGTCTCCAATGACACTATTTCATCCCCATGAATAATGCAAGCTTTCGAGTAACAGGTTCTCACAAAAACAATTTTATTATTTCATGATATTTCAGTATGTATAGGAAACACCCGTGCAGCAGGAAATTATCCTAGCAAATACCAGCAAACAAACCCGTTCGAATAAGTTTATTTTATCCTGGAGGAATTTGTTGTTTCAGATTGACTAAATAATTCCGCGCTGCCTCAGCCTCGCCTCCTAGAACGTAACATATTAATCGCATTTAACGAATTCCCTTTGTTGTAGATGCAATGGAGATGAGCTGAGAAGATGTCTCCCAGCGCTTTCGCCTGCTACCTCCTGGTGATCGTGCTTACCCAGGCCGAGTCGGAGGTGGACTTCCGCTTCACGCAGCACCTCTACAATGTCAGCATCCCCGAGAACAGCGTCGCCAAGACCTACGCGACGCAAGCACCAGGTGCCGAGCGTATGGGCATCCACGTGCGCTCGAATGCTCTCAGCGACGTACGATATAAGATAGTGGACGGAGACAGGGACAAGTTTTTTAAGGCCGAGGACCGACTCATCGGCGATTTCTGTTTCTTGTTTATTCGGACTCGAACGGGCAATAACGATGTGCTGAACCGCGAACGCAAAGACAAGTACGTGCTGCAAGTGCGCGCCACCGCGATGAAGAGGGACGGCAAGCAGAAGGTGTCCTTCTCGACGGACACTACTGTGGTAGTTACCGTTCTAGATACAAACGATCTCAACCCTCTCTTTTATCCCACCGAATACAACACTACAGTTTTCGAAGACACGCCCGTACATCAGAGTATCCTCAAAGTGGTTGCGGAGGACGCGGATCTGGGGAGAAACGGGGAGATTTATTATAGCTTCGCCGAGGAAACGGACAAGTTCGCAATTCACCCCATGTCGGGGGTGATCTCGTTGAGCAGGCCGTTGAGGTATGCAGACTTGGTTAATCGATACAATAAGAAAGAATCTTGAAACCGCATTGATAGGTATATCTTACAGCCACAACGCAGGTGATTTTTAAAAGTAATAAACCACCAGAATTGTAAATGTTTATAAAATAGTTGGTTATTTTTAAGAATTAATGTGTTCATTTTAAACCAGCTCAGTTTAAGTTTTGGCAGTAATATATACAGCTTTCAAACACATACTGTTTTTTGAAAACTTCAAGATGTTTCATGTAAGAAAACAAAGTTCATCTGTAACATTAACATTGTATTTCTTCTTAATTAATGCCCGAAACTTTTTTATATGATACTTTCTTTACATACCTGGGATAGCAGTTTTGATATATTAGATACGGTATATTGATTTACGATGAAACTTAAATGAATTTATAAAAGAGAATAAAAATTGCTTCCTCATAATGTCCCTTGGTAGCATTTTTTCAGTACATGAGAATTTATTGCTACTTACTTTTTTCTATCAACGCGATCTTGTAACGGATGCTCTTTTTTCTGAATTTTCCTTACAACTTCTAATGGCGTCGTTTCCATCAATCTCATGTTGATCTTGTTTTTTTGCGTTCTGAATTTTCAGGTAAAGTTCTTGTGGTTTTCTTTGCATTCAAAATATTCTAGTATTTTTGTCCGGATTATTTTTCCACTTTTTGTTTTTATAGTCTGTCCATCTCGTCTTTACCCATCAGTTTTTACTGCAGTAACTTTTTTTGAATTATTTTCCTCTTAATTCTGCTGTATCTGGAAAGTTTTTTTTGTTTGCTATTTTTTTTTTTTAAATAATCCAATGTCTAACCTTTTGACATTTTACTTGCTATACTCTTGTTTTACATCTTCAAGGTGCACGCTTTTGTATCTACGTTACTCTAGAGACAATTTCGTCTCTTTGCATTATTTATAATGTCTTTAGCGTAAGATGGGAGTCCTCTGAAAAAGTAGGTCCTATTTTCGTTTGTCGTCTGTTGGCGTTTATATTAGACAGATAAAAGCTGAAACTGTGATTGAAATTTTTAGTGTATTTTAGGAATGTTTAAATGCTAAAACGCCCCATAAAATTTGTCTGATCATACCCACCAACAATTTAATAACGTCATTTAAAAATTTCTCTAGGTAAATCCTATTTAAATTTTCTAAAATAATATACGTTTATCCCCGTGGTTTATTTATTTGCCCTCATTCATGGACGACTGACTACTTCATGTTTTATCTACATTTCATGACCCGTAGAGTACGAAAAAGAAGGTCTTCTGTTTCCGTCTGTCTTCCGTCTGTCCGCCGTATGTGTTTGTTTTTATTAGACAAATAATGTCCGAAATTGAAATAATACCGATTGTATGTTAGGAATATCATGCAAATGGTAAAACGCTAATCAAAATTTGCCTAATCATCCCCAACAAAAATGGAATTGCGTTATCTCCAATCAAGATGTATGTATTTTTGAAAAAAAAAATACAAAATTGTATTACATAACAGCACTTTACAATTTAACATTGAAATTGCAACACGAGTGTTCTTAAAATTTTGTCGAATAAATGTTGCTTAATATTCAAAACTAACATAGCCCTGAACTTATGGTTGATGAATTCGTGTTGAATTTTTATTTTAGATATAGAAAAAAAAAAACAAAATTTTATAACAATTTTTCGATTTCTTAATTTTCCGACAACAGTTTTTAGTTTTTTGTTTAGTTTTTGCCGTTTCTCAATTTTCGATTTTTGGATTTCTCGATTTTTTTTATTTTCCCAATTCTTGATTTGTCGACTTTCGATTTTTCAGTTTTTCAATTCTTAAATTTTTCGGTTTCTCAGGTTTTTGATTTTTTACATTTTCGATCTTTGAGTTTTGGATTTTTCACTTTTTCGAAATTTCAGTTTTGGGATTTTTCAATATTTTTTCGCTTCTTCAATTTTTCGATGTTTCGATTTTTTATACTCCAGATTTCTGGACTTTTCAATTTTTCGATTCTTGAGTTTTTCGATATTTTAATTTTTCGATTTCTCGTTCCCTCAATTTTTTGACTTCTGAGTTTTTGATGTTCGGGTTTTTAATTTTTCGTTTTTTCAGTTTGTCAACTTCTCGATTTCTCCATTAATCGTAATTTCGACGTTTAGATGATTCAATTTTCAGATTTTTTTCTTTTTCAATTTAAAATTTTTCAATTTTTAGTTTATCGGTTTTGGGCAATTTCGATTTCTCAATTTTTCAATTTCTCGAGTTTTCAATTTATCGATTTTTCGATCTTCTCATGTTTCGATTTGTCGATGTTTAAATTTTTTAATTTTTTGGTATTTCAATTTTTTGATTTCTTGGTTTTTCAATTTTCGATTCTTTAGTTTTTTTATTATTGCCGTTTCTAAATTTTCGATTTCCTGATTATTTATTTTTCAACTTTTCGATTTCTCGATTTTTTTATTTTACCAATCCTTGATTTGTCGACCTTTCGAGGTTCGATTCCTCGACTTTTTCAGGATCTCAGGTCTTAGATTTTTCAATTTTTCGATTTTTTAAATTTTCGATGTTTTAGTTTTGGGAAATTTCAGTTTTGCGATTTTTCGTTTTTTCGATGTTTCGATTTTTCGATTTTTTAAATTCTAGATTTCTAGATTTTTCAATTTTTCAAATCTTCAGTGTTTCGATATTTTAATTTTGTGATTTCTCGTTCCCTTCGATTTTTCGACTTCTGAGTTTTTGATGTTCGGGTTCTTCAATTTTTCGTTTTCTTCCTTTAAATTACTCAATTTTCAGATTTTTGTTCTTTTTCAATTTTAAATTTTCCAATTTTTAATTTGTGGATTTTGGGTAATTTTGATTTCTCAGTTTTTCGATTTCTCAATCTTCTCATGTTTCGATTTGTCGATGTGTGAATTTTTTAATTTTTCGTTGTTTCAATTTTTCGATTTCTTGGTTTCTCATTTTTCGATTCCTTCGTTTTTTTTTATTTTTGGCGTTTCTGAATTCTCAATTTTTAGATTTCTTGATTAATCAAATTTTCAACTTTTCGATTTCTCGATTTTTTTATTTACCCAATTCTTGATTTGTCTCGAGGTTCGATTTCTCGACTTTCGATTTTTCAGTTTTTCACTTCTTGATTTTTTCGATTTTCCAGGTTTTTGATTTTTCAGTTTTTTATTTTTTAAATTTTCGATATTTCAGTTTTGGGATTTTTCAATATTATTTCGCTTTAAATTCTAGATTTCTTGATTTTTCATTTTTTCGATTCTTCAGTGTTCTCGTTCCTTCGATTTTTCGACTTCTGAATTTTTGATGTTTTTCAATTTTTCGTTTTTCAGTTTGTCAACTTTTCGATTTTTCCATTTATCGTGATTTTGACGTTTCGTTTATTCAATTTTCAGATTTTTTGTTCTTTTTCAAATTTAAATTTTCCAATTTTTAATTGTCGATTTTGGACAATTTCGATTTCTCAATATTTCAATTTATCGATTTCTCGATCTTCTCATGTTTCGATGTGTCAATGTGTGAATTTTTTAATTTTTCGGTATTTCAGTTTTTCGACTTCTCGGTTTATCGATTTGTCGGCTTTTCGATTTCTAGATTTTTCAATTTATCGATTTTTCAGTTTTTCGATTTTCATGTCAGATCTGGGATTTTTCAATTTTTTGATTTCTCAGGTTTTTTTTTGAATTCTAAGTTTTGTAATTTCTCGATTTCTCGTTTTTTTGATATTTCAGTTTTTCGATTTTTCGTGTTGTCTGTATTTTAGATGTATTTTTAGGAATATCGTGTACCTAGATACATAGCAGAATGTTAACCAAAATTTATCTTATCATTGCCAGCAACAATTTAACTACGTTACCTCAAAATTTTGCATGGAAAATGGTATTAAAATTCTATAAAAGATACTCCTGTATATATTGAGTTTTACCCTTGGCATGAACATTTTCGCAAAAAATGAAAATTTGTCGTAGGTCGCACATTCGATCAGATTCGGCATAGGACACTTTTTTTTGTACTGTACTGGTATTATTTTTTTTTTTTCAAAAAAACTGGATTTGTTTGATTAGTACCTAAGAGGCGAGGGAAATTCTGTCTAATAATATGAGACCAATGTTTCGTGTTGATCTACTTTTCTTTTAGTAGCTGTCGCTATTGTGCTTTTGTTTTTGTATATTCCTATTTACTTTTCTTTTGATTTTTTAAACTATTGAACTTGCGGTATATATCGATTGCATTTTATATTCTTTCTTTTAGTATTTTTTTTGTCCGGTTTTTGCATTTTTCATTTGTTTTCTGAATATTTTTCTTCGTCTTAAAGGACTTTCTTCATATTGTCATTCCGTTTTTAAAAAAAACTAGGATAAAGTGGTCTTAGGGTTCGCGAAAGTAAAATTCATGTTTTTCAACGCTGAAGTAGAAAATTGTGAGATAACGTTCAACGGGGACATATATTCTTACTTTTGCGTTCTAAATGGTTTTGATTTCAATGGGAAAACTTATTTCCTTGCTTGTTTGACCGATATTTGGATGAACAGAAAATACAAATTACGATTCTATAACTTAGGGATAAGAATAATTTTATGTTGCATCTTTGGATATATACATAATATACATTTATATACTTACAATGTCTTGTTTGTCAGGTACAACGAGGGAACCTACCACGAGCTGACCGTCTTGGGCCAAGACCGCGGCGGCGTGTTCAGACAAGGCTCGGGTATGGTGAGTAAGGCGAAGGTGCGCATCCGCGTGAAAAAAGTGAACTTTTTCGCCCCCGAAATCCGCATTCGCCACCACCCTCAAATCGTGGAAAACTCCAACGCGGACATCTTCGCCATCGTCAACGTTTCGGACAAAGACGGAGGTATCCACGGCGAAATCAAAAGTCTGGAGATCGTGGATGGGGACCCCGACGGGCACTTTCGCATCCGTCCAACGAAACAAAAGGGTGAATTCAACATAGAGGTGCTTAAGCTATTGGATAGAGAGAGCACGCCGCAAGGGTACACGTTGAAACTCAGGGCTGTGGATCGCGGAGTGCCGCCGAGAGAGAGTTACAAGTCTGTTCCCGTCCACTTGACGGACCTCAACGACAACGCGCCCGTATTTAATAAGGAGATCTACGAGGTTAAGGTTCCGGAGACCGCTCCGGTCAACACTCCCCTAATAAGACTGAAAGTTACGGACGCGGACGAAGGGAGGAACGCACAAGTGTTCCTGGAGATCGTAGGGGGCAACGAAGGGGGGGAGTTCACCATTAACCCCGAAACCGGGATGCTGTACACGGCTGTTCCTTTGGACGCCGAGAGCAAACAGTTTTACAGCCTCACGGTCTCCGCAATCGACCAGGGGAACGCGGGGACGAGGAAGCAGTCTTCCGCGAAAGTCAAGATTTACGTGGAGGACACCAACGACAACGACCCGATTTTTGACAAGCCGGAGGTGACGGTGTGGATCGACGAGAACATGCCGGCGGGTACGGCCGTGACGACGGTCCACGCGAAAGACAGGGACCGAGGGGAGAACGCGTACATCTCGTATTTAATCGCAAACATTAACAAAGTACCTTTCGAAATAGACCACTTTTCGGGCGTTATTAAAACGGCGGCGCTCTTGGATTACGAGAGCATGCGGCGCGAGTACGTGCTGAGGGTGCGGGCGTCCGATTGGGGCCTGCCGTATAGACGGCAGACAGAAATGCAATTAACTGTTAAAGTTAAAGACATAAACGACAACAGGCCGCAGTTCGAGAAAGTCGATTGTGTGGGTCATATCCCACGGTATGTCTCTATAGGTTCCGAAATTATCACATTGTCGGCTATTGATTTTGACGCCGGCAACATTATTTATTACAGGATTGTGTCAGGAAATGAAGACGGCTGCTTTAGTATTGACGCAACGTCGGGAACTATAACGGTCAGTTGCGATTTGAACGACATCAGGGTGAACGAGAGGGAGATTAATGTGACTGCAACGGACGGCACTCACTTTGCCGATATAGCACGCGTACAAATTAAACTTGTTAATTCGAAAAGAGGAACGCTGGCCAGCGGAAGGCTGCTGAGTGATGATACGGGAGCTTTCGATTGCAAGGACACGGGGGTTGCGAGGAGACTCACAGAAGTACTCGCCGCGGCGGAGAATAACAACAAGCCTCAAACCGAAGAAGAATTCCCAATGATGCCCACACGCTACGGACAGAACTTGAAATCACCCGAATTCATCGACTTCCCGGCCGAAATTAAAGTCAACGAGTCGGTAGCCTTGGGGACGACACTCGTCAAATTGAAAGCCCGCGACAGAGATCTAGGCTACAACGGTAAACTCATCTACGGGATTTCGGGAGGCGACAAACACTCCCAATTTTGCGTGGACATGGACTCCGGCGAGCTGAAAGTCATCGGTTACCTCGACCGAGAGCGCGAATCCGAATACTTCCTCAACATCACCCTATACGATTTGGGTAAACCGCAGAAATCCACGTCTAGAATGCTTCCAATCACGGTCCTCGACGTCAACGATAACGAACCGGTGTTCGAGCGTGCCCTTGCCAGTTTCAGAGTTACCGAAAACGCCCACAACGGAACGGTGATCTTCCGGGCGAACGCGACCGACGCAGACTCCGGGGACAACGCGAAAGTGACTTACTCTCTAGTGACGGACACGAAAGACTTCGCCGTGGATAAATTCACAGGTGCGCTCACCGTGGCCAGCAATTTGGACCGGGAGCGGCGAGACCTGTACGAGCTGCGAATTAGGGCGACCGACGGCGGCGGCAAGGGCCCGGATAATCCGCCTTTGTATTCCGAAGCCCTGGTCAGAATATCAATCGACGATATCAATGACAACGCCCCGAAATTCAGTTTACCCGCTTACACCGTCAAGATACGGGAAGATATACCGAAAGGAAGCGTCGTTGCTGTGGTTACGGCTTCAGACCCTGACCTGGGTAGCGATGGTGAAGTGTTGTATTCCTTGGAGGATAGCGATAGCGATGGTACATTTAAAATTGATCGCTTATCGGGGACGATCAGGACCACAAAGCCGCTCGATTTTGAAGAGAGGCAAGTCCACAGCTTAATCGCGTTCGCTATTGATAAGGGAAATCCGCCGTTGTCTTCGGAAGCGACGGTCACGGTGTACGTGGTAGATGTGAACGAAAATATGCACGCGCCGCAGTTTAGTGATTTGGTGTTGAACGGCACGGTGAAGGAGAACCAACCTGTGGGGACGGTCGTGATGCAGGTGAACGCCAGCGATGCGGACCCTCCGGGGGGCGACAGCAACATCGAGTATTCGATAAGGGGCGGCGATGGAATCGGGATTTTCTCCATCGATAATGAAGGTAAGTGATTTTAGTTCACATTCGTATAACCTCACTAAGTAGACGCGATTGATCCCTAAATTGTAGAGTAATGTAATATAATTAACGTTTTTCGCGGACGGTTGACTACCAAATAAATCTTTTCGGCGAATTTTATATAATTTGAAAGTTGACCGGGAATGGAATTTTTTACCGTGTATTTTTTAATTTTTACATATTTGCTCTTTCGTTATAATTTTCCATTCCCCATTCGCGTTGCTTGAAATGTATAACCTGTCGTCTTTGCAGATAATATGGAACATATTTTTTTTTTCTGTTTATTTTTAATAAACCACTAGGCAGCTCTTAAGTGGATTTTTCATTTCTACTAACAGTACGCTTCATTATAATAGTAATCAACATTTGATCTGTCGGTTTTCTTCAAAGAAAGTGAATTATGTTCCATTTTTTATTAGACGATAACGCATGCTATGTAATAAATCCGTTTGGAGTTAGTTTGACCTAAATAGGTTGTAAATGAAAACTAGAGTTTGAAGTTGATTACTTGTTATAAATAATAGATAATATGACTCCATGGTCAATTTGAAATCAATTTCAAACGTCAAATTTGTGTTGTAATTGGATAATAACGTGATATATATCCAAGGATGCACACACAACTTTAAATGTGAAAAATTTCCAACAGTTCGTGATCAAAAATTGTTGCAGTTTTTTCACTACTTTTTTTAATGATGTCCACAAATTAGTCTTAGCACTGTTATCAACGAAAAAAATAAATTACAAAAAATATACTAAAATTATAAAAGTTACCCATCCACGTTAAGAACTCGAATTTGATGTTATAAAATGAAAGCTATAGCCAATAAACATCTCGAACATTCTGAACTCGATGCGAAACACCGACGCCTTTTGTTAGTGAAATTACAATTTACGGAATCAACAAAAACTAAGACTGTTTATGGTTGTCTTGATTGTCTTCACGTTTTGTGACGTCGGGGTGTTTTGTTGGTGTTGTACTATTGTTTTATCACGTAATCGTCGTCTATTTGGTCGAATTTCCAACAATTTCTAATATATCAGGTTAAGCACACCCGAGGCACCAGATTTTGGCAACAACAAATTTCAGACGCTACTCATCAACATTGCTTGACAAACCGAAGGATTTTTTTCCTTCATTTTGCCTAAGCAATTTATGTTCGTTGTAGAATTTACAATGTGATAGTCGGTACAAATTTATTTATTTCTTTTTTACTTCTCGAGCTTAAGCTAAGGATGTATAGTATTCATTTTATGCCTTCTTGACGTTTCATGAACCTTAGAGTACGAAAAAGATGATTTCCCATTTTCATCTGTCTGTCTGTCTACCGCGTGTATCGATTTATATTAGACACGTAATCCTCGAAACTACTGAACGTATCGTCGCCAAATTTTGTATGTATATTAGGAATATCATGTAGATGGTTAAACGCCAATCAAAATTTGACTAATCATCCCCACCAAAATTTGATGATTTCATCTCAAAGAATTCTATTTTAAAATGATTTCAATATTAAGTATACAACAAGTTTGAAAGTAGACGACAGGCAGATGTAAGTGGGAAACTGCATATTCGTATTTTATGAACGGTGAAATACTAAGAAAGCAGACGTTCGTTCAATTAACTCTGTTGGAATTCTGCGCTGAGCTCTCGCTCTAGCAATAAAATCCAGTGGCACCCAACATTTTTTACAATCATTTAAAGCAATTAAAAATGCAAATTCTTGTACATCTTATGAACTATGAAAAACATGGTGGCCTCCTTTTCGGAGTTCAGTATTGGACTGCTGGTATTCTTGAAATATGATTTTTTCGTGATCTGTTTTGGGTTTAATTCAAAAATTGATTTGTCTGAAGAAATTAAATTATAACCTCCACAAATAGTTTATTGTGAATTGAGAATTTAAGGTTTTTTGTGAAAAAACAAAAGTCTATAAATTATGGCTAATGAGAACACGTTGTGGGTTGAAATTATGTATAATTAGAAACGTAATGTGTATCTTAGACATGGAGTAGCTGTAAATATTGCGTCACATGGCTGAAGCTAGAAAGACTTTATTGAACTTCTTGCCCCCAAACTTTGGGAAACTTTTTATTAAGGCATTTGTATTAAATTTATTTCGTATTTAGACCTTTGCTAAGTTGTACGTTGATATATCGTTGTTCCTTCGCAAAATTTATCTTTCCCTCCGTCCTCTGTTTCCCCTAAAATAAACTGTGTAATATTTACCTTTTGCAGGTCGCCTTTTATTACGCGAGGTATTGTCCACGAATTCGCTAATTTAATTTTTTCTCAACGTTTAAAAGCCCCTAGAGAATCCAAAAGTAGGTCTTGCGCTTCCGCCTGTTCGCAATTATACTAGATAGATCATTTCCGAAACTACTGGATTAATTGTTGTGAAATTTTACATGTATGTATTTTAAGAATATCGTGTAGATGGTGAAACGTTAACTAAAAGTTATCTCATCATTTCCTCCAACAAATTGGTGAGGTCATTTCAGAACTTTAGAAAATAAATTTTACTTAAATTGTATAAAATAGTATGTTTCAGGGTTGTGATTTTATTAATCCGTCCTTATAAGCATTATTACATATTATGAATTGCTTATACAAGGTGCTTCACAAATTGAGTTTAAATTAAAGACATACCTGCTTTTATTAGTATTACACTGTACCTACTCAAATTGATATATTCATCCCCACAAAAAAGTGGATGATGTCATTTCAAAATTTCAATAAGAAAAATTCACTTGAAACGTCGGCATGGTACACTTCTTTACCTGTAGTTGGAGAGACTAAGATTTGCGCTCAGTTTCAGAGTAACATTAAGTTTCTGGCTGCCTAACAGCTACATAGAACGTGCTTTTGTGCTTAGAGATTACATATCTCGTTCTCTATACACGTAAGAAACAAATGAAAATTACTTGTTGTATTTTTGGAAGTAAGAGTTCCCATCGGATTATTCCAAACCTCAAAACCACTTCGCAAAGCAGACAACTTCGTGAAATTTACAGTAAGGAATAGTTTAATAGTGAACATTTGCGAAACGTACTGTTCGTGTGTTTGGATGTTATGAAATTCCTTGACAAAATATTTTCATTAGACTGAACATCTAACAGTACTAGGAATATACTAAGAAGTTGTTAACTTAATTACTGTAATTCTAAAATTACGGATAATAAGTGTGTATATATCGAAACATTTTCTGCTTTGATAAGGTATTCGAGTTGTTGTTTAACGGAACTAACGCTGTCGAAGTAACTGTACGAAGAATAATAGTGCGGCAGATTTTTGTCCTCGGTTTGGATACAAACATTAATTGTAGATCTGTATTGGTGTGTCCCAGTACCGAGAGGGATCTGATCGGTTTTAAAGAAACACTGATAGCACGAGGCCGTGTTGAACCGTTGTAGAACAGGTTGATTTGTCGAAGCGATAGCGTCGTTTCCCGTTTTGTTAGACTCGGCGGGGTGTTTTGCAGTGGAGTGTTTAGATATCGAAGCAGCAAATGCGCGTTGTAACCGAAGGAAGCGATGTAAGTCAGTAGGGTAAAACGTCTCAGGATCAGCGATAGAAGCGGATGTAGCGTGGCGTACGAGCCAATAAAATTCAAAACCAATCTGGCCCTAGACAGATATATGCAAAGTCGAAGCCCCTCAATACGTAAGGCCTAACATCTAAATCAGGCGACTGTGGCGCTTGTGTATTCGACCATAGAATCGGTCCATGCAAAATGTAAACAAGATTCCACACCGGAGATTGTGACAGTAAAAACTTGCAAATCTCGTCTAGGCAGCGATTCGAGCGCCAAATTGGATTCTCCCCAAGGTAGAACAAGTGTAAGTTATTGGTTTGTAAATTTGGGACATCATCGGACAGCAAATGAGGCCATCAATCGTGATTCTGGACAGCGAACGCGGCAACAATTGCACGATTTAATGACTTCCCTCCAGAGATAGTGTGCTGCAAACAAAACGAGAATGCTAATCTGCTTAAAAATTCAGCACGAGAGGCATAAATCTCTTGCAATCCGACCAGATTAAAATCTTACCAGCAAAAATTGATTAAAAGTTCAGCTATTAAACTCACCGCAGCTGCAACTTGATCGTTATCCATAAAATCGAGATATTAAGAATTTTTCGTACCGGCGCGTATTTACGATACTTCGGGCAGAGTTCGGAACAATGCAAATTTAAATTATCTTCGCGATGAAGCCGGTTTTAGCTTTCTAATCCTCAGACACTAGATCTGCAACTTCTTAAATAAGACGTCTTCGTGACTAGAAAATCGGCGTTTAAGCGACTCGCCGTACGAACATTTAGAGCCAAACTACAAATGAATAAAAAATTAAGAATTGTTCCCTTCGGAGATAACAAGCGGACGATTCCTGAATCTCTAAAGAGAGCATCCGCGAAGAATTCAATTCGACGGGTCTAATGCGAAATTATACTTTTGGAAATGCTAATCAAATCATAAAATCCTCCCTCATCAATCATAATCGAGTCCCTAAATAAAGTTTGCGTCGGCTCATATTCCCAACGTGCAAGCAGTAAATAACATTTTTAATAAGAACTTATTCGAAAAAAGCTGGGCTATGAACCAGGAACCCTGTCTGCCTGAACATGTTAACATGAGCTATCTTGCAATTTATCAGGTAAAATTTACATAGAACTCTCGTGTGATGAAATATATTTCATGGCTAATTTAAAGGATAAATAAGCAACAACCCCACATAAATTCGTGATATTTGCGCCGTTTTCCGGCATGAAAGCGCCAAAATGAATAGGCCACATCGGAGACCGATGCGGCGGCCTAAATTTTAGTTTGAATGGGATTTGATTGTGGAACCGATGTCATGAATAATGCTTCTTTGATTACCCGTCGCCTTCATCTGCTTTCGCGGTTTTTATTGATTGGACAAGTGCAAAGTTTTGAGTGGAGAAATCAACTTTTTGACCTTTCGAGGCTTACGCGACGCCGTTTG